ATCAGTTTATGTATTTGTGACCCGGTTTCACAATATTATATCATATATTTAATACATGAGGAGCTCGAGGGAAAGGAAGCAAGTAACTAAGGGAAGCAGTGATGTGCGTTGCTGAGCCAGCCTTAGCAACACAATTTGACGGAGTTATTTATAGAACAAGAGGATGCAGTGCCACTATAGCAGTTTTTTTTCTTTAGCTTTTTTCTCACAGTGAATGTGGGGCAGTGGGGGAGTCGCACAGGGGACATACAGGACAGCTTATTTTACACTGGGAATCCCAAAGTCACATGAAAATACACTATTCACTCAATCTGTGCCTGTTACAGCACAGGAGGAGCGTGGGAGATATGGACTTTGGCTGTGTTTACAAACGGAAAATGCCATTCAAGTGCTGCTCGAGAGTTCTCCTTCAATGTTATGATTATTTTTCCTGAGATTATTTAAACATGAGATTATTTAATTATGAGAATATAAAGTGTCTCCTGGATCGATGTTGTGATGTTCAGAATCAGATCCATTCTATTCAAGGATACTTCTTCATGCTGGAAAGGACACAGCATGCTGATTGCTGAGTCAGTGTGTGCGATTGTTGGTGGTCGAAGGGGTCATTACACAGAAGGGCAGCCTCGCTAGCATCTGTTTGCCCCAGGGCAGCCATGACTGTCAAAACTGGTCTTGTCAGATCTCAGAGACAAACTGCAAGGTGGGATGAAGTGCAAATCATTGCCCTTATGCAAGGGTGGTCAGAGCATCCGTTGCCGCGGCAGCCCTGCCCCTGTCAATCTGCCCCAGGGCAGCCTTGCTAGTCTTGTAGCTTAGTTGCTTTTGCAGAGAGAAATGTGTGAAAAGGGCTTTTTAAGAATACTTCACCGCGGGCATCAGAAGAATTATACTATTTTCAACACTGAAACACTTTTTAATGCACTAAAAAACACTTTTTAATGCGTTGAATCAATATCACTTTAGTCACCCACAGATTAAAGAGCGGATCGAGGAAAGACGCAAAGACACTTCACATGGTGTTATTCTTTCACTCTGTACTCAGTGCTGATAAACTGCTACTGTAGCCACAACTGCCCTGGGGCACACTGACAGAAACAAGGCAACCAGTCTGTGCCATGGGCCCTCCCACCACCACCAGCCACTCACACACACACCAGACTCATACCAGGCAATGTGGCACTTTACTCCATCACAGTACTAACCAGGCCCTGCCCTGCTTAGCTTCAGAGGTCTGTCAGGATCTGGCATTCAGTCGGGGAAAAAGCCAGATCCGTCGGTTCTCAGTGCGGAAATGTCAGTGTCATTATTGCACATTACAGCAGAATAAAAGGAGAAATAAGACTCAGTTTAGGCACACATCAAACTGGATCTATTATTTAATGTAATAGATAATAAATGATAAGATATGTAAATTAGTCCTTTGTCTGGCCCCCTGCCTTTCTCTCATGTAACCTCATATGTGTTATTGCTTAAGTTTGAATAAAGTATTATAGTCTATTCTGCGTATAACGTTGCCTGCTCCCATTACGTAACTCATATTTTGAAGCCAACCTTTCCTCTGGCCTTTCAGACGAGCGAAACCCAAGCGTAAATGTGAGTGCAGTTTACCAGAGGGCTTCCTGTATTTGTGAGCGTTTGTGTGGGAGCCTCCCTGTTCCACATACCGACCACAGAGAGGACTGCGGCACTTTCACAACACGGGACAATATTCAAACGTCCGCTCCACAAACGCAAGGGCACGAGGAACTCAAACAGTCAGAGAGGGAGCAGAGGTGTTCTCAGACTGGTCAAAACATCTGAGACCAACATAATGATTACTAAATGTCCATGGCCCGGATTATCACCCTCCTACATCAGCAAAGAATGATAAATAAATAAAAAACCTAGTAGGGAAAAAGTGATGCCATATTTAGAAAGGGCTTTTCTTTCAATGATGGATAGAGGCTGCAGATCCAGGACTGAGGCTGTAGACCCAGGACTGAGGCTGTAGACCCAGAACTGAGGCTGTAGACCCAGGACTGAGGCTGTAGACCCAGGACTGAGGCTGTAGACCCAGAACTGAGGCTGTAGATCCAGGACTTAGGCTGTAGACCCAGGACTGAGGCTGTAGATCCAGGACTTAGGCTGTAGACCCAGGACTGAGGCTGTAGACCCAGAACTGAGGCTGTAGATCCAGGACTTAGGCTGTAGACCCAGGACTTAGGCTGTAGACCCAGGACTGAGGCTGTAGACCCAGAACTGAGGCTGTAGATCCAGGACTTAGGCTGTAGACCCAGGACTGAGGCTGTAGATCCAGGACTGAGGCTGTAGATCCAAGACTTGGACTGTAGATCCAGGACTGAGGCTGTAGATCCAGGACTGAGGCTGTAGATCCAGGACTGAGGCTGTAGACCCAGGACTGAGGCTGTAGACCCAGGACTGAGGCTGTAGACCCAGGACTGAGGCTGTAGATCCAGGACTGAGGCTGTAGATCCAGGACTGAGGCTGTAGATCCAGGACTTAGGCTGTAGACCCAGGACTGAGGCTGTAGATCCAGGACTTAGGCTGTAGACCCAGGACTTAGGCTGTAGATCCAGGACTGAGGCTGTAGATCCAGGACTTAGGCTGTAGACCCAGGACTTAGGCTGTAGATCCAGGACTGAGGCTGTAGATCCAGGACTGAGGCTGTAGATCCAGGACTTAGGCTGTAGATCCAGGACTGAGGCTGTAGATCCAAGATTTGGACTTTAGATCCAGGACTGAGGCTGTAGATCCAGGACTGAGGCTGTAGACCCAGGACTGAGGCTGTAGATCCAGGACTGAGGCTGTAGATCCAGGACTGAGGCTGTAGATCCAGGACTGAGGCTGTAGATCCAGGACTCTGAGGCTGTAGATCCAAGACTGAGGCTGTAGATCCAGGACTGAGGCTGTAGATCCAGGACTGAGGCTGTAGATCCAAGACTTGGGCTGTAGATCCAGGACTGAGGCTGTAGACCCAAGACTTGGGCTGTAGATCCAGGACTGAGGCTGGGGGTGTAGCCCACAAGTCCGAGCCCCTGTAGACCAGTTCACAGCTGCAGATAAAAGCAGGATCCAGCGGTCCCATCATCACGCCTTGAAACAGAAAATGGGACAGTGGGTGAATAGCAATGAACAGACTACAGCTGAACTATTATTGATGATGAAATAAAATCCTTATGTCTGCCTGTAAGCAGGCAAAAGTATTAGAATGATATTTATAGAGTTACTGCAGTTATTAAGTCTGTATTTTGTGTCTGAATATATTTTTTTCTCCTTTACACTGGGACTAAAGTGCTATTGACCGACATGAGCTGGGACGTGGAATTTTGGCTTTTTATTTTCTATCTTTTCCTTTTGTGAAGATATGTCAAAAAGTGTGTTGATCATTTGTGTATGAGGCAGATCTGGCTGTGAACGGATCCAGACTCGGAGAAACTGCAGCTGGTGTTTTGGCCTGAGGTTTGAGCGGAACACGACCTCTGTCAGATTATATTTACACCGGCTGCCATTACTGCAGTTTCATCTCAGTCTAGTAATCTAGTAATCTTTTATTTATATACCGCATTTTCACTGCACATTGGAGTCTCAAAGCGGTTTACAATTGTTATTTTTTGGGCATTTGTCCTCTCACTCCACACAGAGATGGGAGTGGGGCCAGTACAGGAGGCGCATGCCAGACCTATTGTACATATTTTTAGTGGTAGGGGAAACCGGAGTACCCGGAGGAAACCTACGCAGACACGGGGAGAACATGCAAACTCCACTCAGAAAGGCCCTGGTCCGACCGGGATTCGAACCCAGGACCTTCTTGCTGAGAGGCGAGAGTGCTATCCACTCAGCCACCGTGCCGCCAGTCTCGGCTCAGAGTCTCTGCTTTGTTTGTTTGTGTCAAGTTTTCAGTTTCAAGTATACATAAATTATATATAATGAATAAGAGCTGGGATACATACACACACATACACTGTATCTACACGCACACAAACATAAACACACACACAAACAGATACAGACATAAGTACACCCATATACACATTCACACACATATACCTATACATAAACATACACACATATATATACACACACACACACAATAAATAGATAGAATGACAAATTGAATATCAATAATTGTCATAAAAATCTTTGTGTGACCTTGGTCTGTGAAATATGCTACAGAAAAAAAACAGGACCGAGGGACGAATTCTTAAACCTGTTTCTACTGAGTCCCTGAAATTTAACATAGCACAGGGACTGTCCTCCTACTGGGACTCTGAGGAGCACAGGGACTGTCCTCCTACTGGGACTCTGAGGAGCACAGGGACTGGTCTCCTGCTGGGACTCTGAGGAGCACAGGGACTAGTCTCCTGCTGGGACTCTGAGGAGCACAGGGACTGTCCTCCTACTGGGACTCTGAGGAGCACAGGGACTGGTCTCTCCTGCTGGGACTCTGAGGAGCACAGGGACTGGTCTCCTGCTGGGACTCTGAGGAGCACAGGGACTGGTCTCCTGCTGGGACTCTGAGGAGCACAGGGACTTGTCTCCAGCTTGTGCCCAGAATCAGTACTAAACATGGCAAGGCAGCTATTCAGAGTTATGCAGCTACAATGTGGAACAGTCTTCCTGGAAATGTGAGACAGGCTTCTTCCCTGACAATATTTAAATCAGTTATTATTAGCTGTGCATACAACTGAAGAATATTTATGATTTTTGTGTTTCTCTTGTTGTTTTGTCCTGCAGTTTGAGTTGCCTTGTGAATGAACTGTGCTTAAGAAGATACTGATGTTTAAGCTTATTTAGTTCCCAGAAGAAAAGTCAAAAGATTGATAAAACTAGCAACATAATATAACTCTAATTGTTCTGAGCTAGTGTTGTATGGACCTGAGAAAAGCTCGTTTGATTCTCCCACAGAGGTACATACACCAATTGTGAGATATTACGCCCTCTGCTGGTGATAGTATGAAGCGTCAGGTCTGTATTGAAACTCTGTGTTTATTTTTCAGGTCGAAACAAAAGAGGAAGACAAAGGAGGAACTCAGGATCTGTCGGAGGAAGAGGTGCGACAGCGGATAGAGGAATACAACTCGCACGTGTCCGAGAACGGCATGAAGCTGGTGAGGCTCTTTTACTGCTCTCTGATCCATCTCATTTTGGATTTATGCAGCTAAAATCAGGGACAGTCTTCTTGAAAATCTGACCAGACATTTCTGATTGGAGTTTGCATGTTCTCCCGGTGTTTTCTCCGGGTGTTCCGGTTTCCTCTACCGCTAAAAACATGTACAATAGGTCTGGCATGCACTAATAATGACCTTGCTCACATCTCTGTGTGCAGTGACAGGCAACAACAACAATTAAAGTAAAGTGCTTTTTGACCAAAGATTACATACTTACTTATCCGTTATTTATTTATTTATTTATTGTTCATGACCATATGAAAGAGACCAAAAAAGACGGCAAAGCAATGCATCATTTTAAACATAGGAATGATCTTTTTTTTTTATTCTCCAAGTTTAAAGAATATTCTCAAGCTTCCATTTTATATTAGTTTGAGTTTTCATTCCAACCAAACTCCAGCCATTTCCTCAGACTGGACTTTCTTGACCAACCAGACCAGCCCTTAGTGGAACCAGTTCAACACTTCTGCTTAGACTTTGGAATCTCTGTTTACAGTCATTATTTGTTTTGTTGCCCATAAATACTTGTCCTCTCACTCTCAGTTATTATCCATCCAACAGCTTAGATCAGGGGTCTCCATATTGCTCGGGAGATACCAGTAGCTCCCCACCCTCTTGTAGGTAGCTCCCTAAAGAATTTAGTACCTACATAAATATGTGGACTATTCCAAAAGGTATTATTCATTTGCCCAAAACTGTTGCAGTAAATGCAGGCTAGCATAGTAATGAATGATACATAATTCTTTGTAGCTATGACCATTAATATGCACATTTTCCCGCAGACGCTGTTCAATGGTTACAAATTTGGCCCAAAAATTGCGCAGTGTCACTTGAAAAGAGCAGTTCTCTGACATTTTAGACCCAAGAAATTATCTGTCCAGGTGAAAAGGTTGTAGACCCCTGGTTCAGATCTGCTGTTTACAGTGTTGTCTCCGCAGTCCTCAGATGGCTCCTACAACGGCTTCATCAAAGTCCACCTGAGGCTGAGTCGACCCGTCACCGTGCAGGCTGTGGATAGTCCCGCCCCCGACGATCAGATGGCCAATCAGAACGCGCGGCTGAGCTCTGAGGGAAACGCAGACGAGTCCAGCGGTTTGGGCCCAGAGAAGCGGACGTCCTTCTACCTGCCGTGCGACTGTGTGAAGCAGCTGCACATCAGCTCGCTCACCAGCACCAGAGAAGTGATCCAGGGCCTGCTCAAGATGTTCACCGTCCTCGACAACCCCTGCAAGTTCGCCCTCTACCGGCAAACGCACAGAGACGGACAAGGTGAGGCACAACACCAGGCGCAACACCAGGCATAACCAGTGTGTGGCGGATCCCGGCTCAAATAGGGTCCATGAGCTGCTGACAGGCTTGCAATGTCACCCCTTGCCGGTGGGGGTGTACTCGGAAACAGAATTATCGAATGAATTCTTATGGCGCCTTATTTCCACTTGAAAACCTTCTTTACAGCCTGGTCCAAAAGTCGCTCTTGGCCCAACGCTACGTTCCAGATTCTGTTAATGCTGAGGGTCGGATTTTTCTTCGGACCAGTTTAGTTTAGCTGCTGTGGACTTTTCAAAACGTTCCTCCTGCGGGAGGGGCCTCTCGCGGCCATTTAAAAAAAGGTGGCACTACGTCCGTTAATATTAAAGTCTATGGGCACAACACCAGTCATAACGTTGGTCACTTCATCACTATCACTACTGACCACTATAAGGCACTGTCCCCCAAACTTTTTGAGCCGTAGCACACCTTTTACTTTGAAAGAAATCAGCTGAAACTCCACGTTCTTAATTAACATCCTGTCATTATTATCAAAGTTTATTGATTAACTAAACAACCATCATTTGCTATCTCCTCACATTATTTTCTACCAATGTTTTTTTTAACCATTTGTAATATTGGATCATTTCCAAAGGCACTCCAGACAAAACCTCAAGGCACACTACCTGACCATGGCACACTGGTTGAAAAACACTGCTATAGAGAAGCATTCCGCAAAATCTTCTTTTTGGCCTTTTTATGCATGTTGCCATCTCAAACATGGAGTGTATCCATTCTCGCTAACATCTAGCCAGGCTAAAGCTAAACACAATCTTACTGGTGGATGACTGGTGGTCTGAATAAGTTAATCAGAATCAGAATCATTTTTATTGCCACGTAAGTAACAGGAAGTCACAGACTTGGAAATTGCTTTGACTCAGTGCAACAGTCAGAAAAAAGAGAGAAAAAAAGAAATAAAATTTAAAATAGAATTATTACAACTACAATTACTATTAGAGTTTCGTTCGGGCCTGAAAAATGAAGCCCGACCCGGCCCGAGCCCGCTAATGTTAAGCCCGAGCCCGTATAAGCCCGACCAATGAACGCTGTATAACAGGCCCGAGCCCGACAGAACCCGACACATCTGATTTCCCGTTGTACGCACTCACCTTCCAATTGCAAGTTTAGTCTCCAGTTTTGAATTTGTTTTGTCTCCACTTGATCCATTTCTACTATTGTTCCTGTTCGCTGTTGACCACAGCAGCAGGAGACACGGGGATGATGCGTTCACGGCTCGCTGCTGCTGTAGGACACGCTGGTTACGGTGTCATTAATATATTAACTTTTTTAAATAACTTGTTGTCAATCAACGGATATTGTTATTAATATATATATATATATATATATATATATATATATATATATATATATATATATATATATATATATATATATTGCATATCATTATGTATAAAAATAATTTAAAAATAATTATAATAATAATAAAAAAGAAACATATATTTAAAAAAAGAAGCCCGAGCCCGGCACGAACCCGACAGCTGAGCGCCAAATGAGGCCCGAGCCCGGCCCGAACTCAGGTCGGGCCTCGGGCCTGCTCGGGCTCGGGCTGAAAAGCGAAACTCTAATTACTATGTACAATATGTAAGTGCACATGGTGCACACAATATGCAGTAGGCAGTGCAAAAAGGTGACAAGCAGTGACGTTATGATGGGCATTAAAGTGACTTTATAAGGGGCCGTAAGGTGACTTCTAAAGGGCAGGGGGACAGGTTATGAAATGTTCAAGAGTCCAACAGCAGAGGGGAAGAAACTGTTCTTGCGGCGGGAGGTTCTAGTCCTGATGGACCGCAGTCTCCTGCCTGAGGGGAGTGTTTGGAACAGTCCATGCGCAGGGTGAGAGGGGTCAGCTGTTATATAAATATACTGTAGGCTACAAAAAAAACATGTTTATTTGTTTATGTATCTAAATATGTTTTGCATGTTGCTTGATGGAAACTTTTTAGACTTTTCATTCAAGCACAGAACAAAAATATAATCAAATATAAGTATTATATACATAATTATTACATTTGATTAACAACAGATCAGAGAATCAAACTTTTAAAACACAGGAAATGTGATAAGATTCAGATTCATTTTATTTGCCATATGCAGTAAAACCACATTGGAAAACATTTGCAAAAGTCCCCACATGTACATAAATAAAACAATAGTAACAATAATGACAAACACAACATTGGTCCATAGGGAGCAGATGACCAATGTTCATAAATGTCCTTAAATGTCCCAGATCATCACTGTTTAGACCCTCCTCACATCTTAATGTTTACAGCAGGTTTTGGACATAACTATGTATCTGTGTCTGGAGCCGGCACTGACAGTCAACAGCTCCCTCTGGTGGTTAGAACATCACTTCACAGACATCAATTCATTGTCCTCATTGAACTGTGTTGTTTTTCAGACCTGTTCCAGAAGCTGCCTCTGTGTGAGCGCCCCCTGCTGCTCAGACTCATTGCCGGGCCAGACCCAGACGCACTGAGTTTTATGCTGAAGGAGAACGAGACCGGAGAGGTGGAGGTGAGCAGAGAGACAGGCAGTTACAGTATACTCTTTAACTTAAAGGGGACATAACATGCTACAGCTACACTATAGTTATTTATACAGAAGCATTTTTTTTTCAAGTAATTCAAGCCTATAGTCAATTAATTTTCCTACACCTGAGACGCTATTGTTCCCCAAATTTATTTTCCGAATCTATGATAAGCAGATCTATCGGCTGTCACTGGATGTTGTGCATGATACGTCTCCTTTAAAACACCTGATTGTGACTCGGTCTTGTGTCTGATCTCCGCAGTGGCACGCCTTCTCCGTCCCCGAGCTCCACAACTTCCTGGGGATCCTGCAGAAGGAGGAGTGCGAGCGTGTGAGGGCGGTTCAGCACAAATACAGCGTTTACCGAGACAAACTGCAGGAGGCGCTGCAGCGACACGAGCTCCACTGACCTCTGCCTCCACACAGACTGTTCTCTCAGGCTCCGTCTGAACCCGGTCTCATCCCGCGCCCCGCAAACAACAACCACATTTGTTACAAGACTTGAATTTGGAATGCTCGCTTTGTGTGGGAAGTTTTTCTTGTATTCAAATCAATTCAATTCAGCCTTAAATCACAACAGCAGTTATCTCGGAGGAGTTTACAAGACTTCACCAACAACAGATCAGAGAATCAAAAGGTTCCTATATATGTGTCACCAGATACAACAGGTCACGTGTACAACTCTTATGTGACCTTTTCTGAACAAAAAACTGTAGTTCGGAGTTTTTCTTAAGTTAAATACACAAATAAATTAATTTTGTGTATATCCCTAAATCACAAAAGTCAACAGTACGTCAGTTGTCGATTCACCAACAACAGATCAAAGAATCAAACAGTTCAGACACAAGAAACTCAGTGATAACAAAAACACATACTGGTTGGTCCATAGGGGGCAGAGACCAAAGTCCTTAAATGTCTTTGAATGTCCAGCGTCCTGGATCCTCACCACTGTCCTTAGACCCTCCTTTTACTACATCCTTGATATTTATATTTATGATTTTCAAGCAGATTATTCAATCAGAGAGCAGACTGAATCTCACATTTGGGTTGTCAGTTTGTTAGGTGAAATGCAGCTGGTCTTGGTTCTATTTTTTTCCCTTTATGACAAAATGTACACTCAAAAAATAGCACCACACTTTTATTTAACTGAACTAACTATCTATGCCAAATGTAACCTGTAAATTTCTCCTTTGTGAGATTAATACAGTTTATCTTATCTTATTTTAAAGCAGATAGAAGTCACAGGGAGCAAGATTTTAGCAACAACATCTGGATCGTGTCCAGACGGAGACGATTCATGAACCCACACAAACGCTGTACATTTCGCATTCAAGTCGTGTTTATAACAAATGTCTGATGTTGTTGTTCGCGGCGGCCTCTCCTTAAGAGACTGGAAAACAGACGACGAACGTGGAAATATGTGAACAAGGACCCGCACAAAGGGAAAGCGTACAATGGAGCCGATTTAGCGTCGGAGCTGGTTTCTTCTGCTGTTTTCGCTGCTGCTATAATGCAAAGTGTTACTTACTGAATGCATGGGTCCCTCCTCCGTCCTCGGACACACGCATGGTCTGTGCATCGCTTTGGGAAAGAAGGACAATCGTTTCTTTGAGTTTGAGGTCGAATTTATTGAAATGAAATGTGTTTGTAATTTGTAATGTTACGGTGGAGGTGGTGGGTTCCATAAGCCTAGTATCCACCAGCACTACTTGGCATGGCTCCACTCGGTTCTACTCCACCTGGTTGTGTTTCCATTACACTTATAACAATAATAATAATGCATCGGTTTTATATAGCATTTTTTTTACACTCTCAAAGTCGCGTCACATGTCATTATTCATTCTCTCAAAGCATTGTGGTGATAAACTGTAGCCACAGCTGCCCTGGGGCAGACTGACAGAAGCCAGTCTTTGCCATCGACCCCTCCCACCACCACCAACCATTCACACACACACCAGACTCATTCTAGGAAACGTGGGTGCAGTATCTTCAGAGGTGCTTTGTCTTCAGAGGTGCCGTATCCGAGAAACTTACCCACAACAAACTAGTAACCATGGTAATTCCTTGGTAACCATGGCTTCTAGCAAAACTTTGACCAATCTCTGTCATTTAGAACACTTTAGTACCAGCTTGGCCTGAATAAAGAACCAGGGCCAAGCAGGTACTAAATATGTACACGGTGTTGGTTCAACGGAGAAATGGAAAATGGAAACACTTCCAATCGGGGTAGGGTAGAGCAGAGCCGAGTAGAGTTGGTCCAAGTAGGGCTGGTGGAAACGGGGCTATAGTTGGTCATATATGGGCTATTTTATAAAACAATACGACATTAGATCAAACTTGGTTCAAATCAGCGATGTAGTTCTCTCAAACCAAATCATTGCCCTGATAATCAAATCCAATCCACAGATTTTAAAAACGCTTGAGAACAAAAAAACGTTGACCAAAGATGTGTAGAGATGGTTCAGACACCAGAAGAGGTTTTAAAATGCTTAGATTGTTGGTGGATTTGTGTAAAATTCCACTTCTTTAAATCAAAGCAAACAAGTACCATAATCAGCACCTTCTCGAGTCTTGCGCACCTTATTTACATTTACAAAGAAATATTCATAAATAAGATGCAGGGGTTTGTGTTATAATAGGATGCTAAATTTTAATATGTCATAGTAAAGAGTGTGTTGCCATGGTAATCAGGACTTGCTGGTGGAAAACAAAGCAAAACAAAGTCGAGAACCAGTCAAAAACAAGTCCAAAACCAAGTCAAGAACCAGACCAGTCCATGGTAGGATGCTAACTTTTAATATTGCACAATTAAGAGTGTGTTGCTATGGTAATCAGCACTCACTCTGTGGTCAAGACCAAAACCAGTCCAGAATCAGTCCAAATCCAGTCTAGGACCAGAATTAGAATTTTAGTTCCTCACATTTCAGAAATAAAAAGGTAATTTCCTTATATGAAAACCAAAAAGGTACATACGCTAAGTTATTGCAATAACACTTTCAAAGCATTGCAAATTAGCCCTGGTTATAAATGTTGTGTTTCAGGTGTTGATTATCTAAATGTAACACCCGTCAAAAAAATCTGTAAATAAAACTAAAAATCAGTCAAATGGAGTGGTGAGCTAGGACAAAGAAGTCCAGGCTATAAGTGTGAGAAATAGAGAAACATGACGTTGAAATTAAAAGGTTTTGTGTTAAATTACCTAAATCGGTCCTTGAAGTTGTTTTATGACAGCCATTCCCAAACTCAGTAACTCCGAGGCCCCCTTAAAAATCTGACGGGTCTGCGTGGCCCCCCAAAATAATAACCAAGAAGACAACATTAAGAATAGGCTCTTCTGGTTATTTTATTTTGGGGAAATAGCCTCTGCTACAAACATTGTAATACAAAAATGATTACAGTGGATTATTCAAGTCAAATAATGAACACAAATATTTTAATATTACAAACAAAACATTATAAATTTAACATTAAATAATTATATTTTTTTTTTATTTTTTTTATGAGCTCCCGCGGCCCCCCTGCAGAACCCTCGCGGCCCATCAGGGGGCCGCGGACCCCACTTTGGGAGACACTGTTTTATGAAATAGCCCTCAGTCCATATGTTACAGAAGAAATATACGTAATATTATTTTCTCAGGGTAATGATAGTGGCGTCTCTTCCACTGTTCTCATTCACAGATCAACCTTTTTCTTTGCTCGACCGGAACAAAGTGGATAAAAACAGCCAGGCATGTGCTGTCAGGGCCTCTCCCTGTGTTTTTAATGTCAAAACTACATCATTTGAGATTCTCGGCATGCATTTCAAAGTAAAAGTCAAAACAATTCAATGTTTTTCATGCACTGTAGAGAGAAGAAGGCAGGTTTTGAATGTGAGGTTTTGTACCAAAGTTTAGACGGATCCCAGGCCACTTTATGTCTCAGGTCTCAGCTTTCAGAAAATCAAATATAACTTTCTGTTTTAGTGGTTTAGTTCTGGGTTGGTTTAACTGCTTGGTCTTAATGTTTGTTTTCAACCACATCAAAGGAGACCAGATTAAATGATTAGCATTATTGTTAGCATTATCGTTAGCGTTATTGTTAGCATTATTGTTGTTAGCGTTAGCGCATTATTGTTAGCATTAGCGTTAGCGTTGTTGTTAGCATTATTGTTAGCATTATTGTTAGCATTATTCAAGAGACGATAACAGAGATGAGGTTCGAGACATTCATACTAAAGTGGCCTGTGGTTTTATATTGCGAACGTTGAGAATGAGTCTATATGGATCGTATTTGTACATAAGAATTGGTCTGGAGTTTTGCACATTTAGGGCACAACAGATTCCCCAAATATTTCCTGAAAAAATAATCTAAATTCAGTCATGTAAGGCAAGGCAAGGCACGTTTATTTGTATAGCACAGTTCATACACAAACCAACTCAAAGTGTTTAACAAAACAAGACATATTAAATGAATAATCAAAAGAGTGAAGATACAATCCTTCAGTTGTGTGCAGATAGAATAAAATCCATTTAGCCTGGATTTGAACATTGTCAGAGTCGAAGCCTGTCTCACATTTTCTGGAAGACTCCTGCAGATTTCTTTACTATAAGATTCCTATTATAGCTACAACAATATGAAATGCTGCCTCCCCATGTCAAGTCTTATCTCTGGGCACCAGCAGGAGGCCAGTCCCTGTGCTCCTCAGAGTCCCAGCAGGAGGCCAGTCCCTGTGCTCCTCAGAGTCCCAGCAGGAGGCCAGTCCCTGTGCTCCTCAGAGTCCCAGCAGGAGGCCAGTCCCTGTGCTCCTCAGAGTCCCAGCAGGAGGCCAGTCCCTGTGCTCCTCAGAGTCCCAGCAGGAGGCCAGTCCCTGGGCTCCTCAGAGTCCCAGCAGGAGGCCAGTCCCTGGGCTCCTCAGAGTCCCAGCAGGAGGCCAGTCCCTGGGCTCCTCAGAGTCCCAGCAGGAGGCCAGTCCCTGGGCTCCTCAGAGTCCCAGCAGGAGGCCAGTCCCTGGGCTCCTCAGAGTCCCAGCAGGAGGCCAGTCCCTGTGCTCCTCAGAGTCCCAGCAGGAGGCCAGTCCCTGTGCTCCTCCCTGAGTCCGAGTTTGCTCATATGGCACTAACATGTTGTACACTTGTACAAAAGCAAAGCTGCTTTAAAGTTATGTCTGAGTCTCAGGACGTCAGTGCAGAGACCTGAGACCACGGCTACATCCAAATTCATTTAGAATTCAGGCTTCGCTATAGCCTGAATTCCTAGCCTGATCTTCTTAGTTTCATCAAAAGCATCTTAAAACAGTCTTTAATTTCTCTTGACCAAACCCATGTCATAAAAAGGAAGATTTTAAAGCACATAGATAAGGAGGTAGTTTGGCTGGATTCGGATGCAGCACAGGACTAATGTGATGGTACTTCCTGGTTCTCATCAGTCCTGTAGTCTAACCTTCTGGTGATATGTTTTCTTCTAGTGCACACTGAAGACGAGCCCCTAACACTTTTCATTCATGTTTGGAATTTTTCTAATTATCATAATGTTAACATGGTTTATAATCGGCCCCAGTGCGTCACGTCTGAATCATGCGTTTGAAATCAGAAATTCTGAAATAATCCTCGTTTGGTGTGATCCTACAAAATTGCATGACTGTTTTTTGCTCTGACTTTGACTCAAATGGTTCCCTTTCAGAAGAGGTTCTAATTGGAATAGACAACGTACAATTGAGCCGTGTTTCCCAAAGTGTGGTCTGAGGACTGCCAACACGACAAGCAATAAGTCATTGAAACAAACCTGCAAATATTTCAGGTTAAATATATCAAAATGAAACGGGTGTTGTGTCCTAAAACGAGACACATGGGGGCCGATGGCACGCACCGGTTGCCTCGCTTCTGTCAGTCTACTCCAGGGCAGCTGTGGCTATAGTAGTAGTTTATCATCACTGTGTATGGAGTGAATGAATAATCCCAAAAACCTGATGCAACATAGATTAGCATTTTATCTGACAGAGGCATCACACAGCATTTTCACACACACACATTATATCACATGAATTCTATCCCTGGTTTACATCATACAAGCAGATATGATAAATCGCATATGGTTTTTGCAAGATTTAAGGACATGGTTGGCCGTGTAATTGCACTTTTAATTATAATTCATCCCTACTTATTGCACGTTAGGGTGAATTAGGGTCATTTTACCATTTGAGTCAGAGTGGATTACCTGAAGATTTTGTGGTCGAGTCCATATTTGCACGTGTGTGTCCTTCGGCTGGTCCTGCTTCAGTGCCTTGGTTTCTGAGCCCTGTATTTTCTCAATCGTCTTTATTCCTGCTGTTTTGTAGTTTTTAGTTTTGTCTATTTATTTGTCCCAGACTGCTCCTGCGTCGCGTCACTGTGAGGGTGTGGACAAAGCACGTGGTTCGTGTGTATTTATCGATCCGTGTGTGCGCTCTGTTTGGGACGCAGAGGACACGGCTCTATGCTTTTGTTTTGAAAGAGTTGTGTAAAAAGAATATGAAGTGTACAGAATCATGAGCTGAAATAAAATAATAAAAACATGTCATCCCTTTAACTCTGTGTCTTTCCTTTGCTTAAAAAAGATTTGCAAATGTTTGTGTTAATGCTGTTAAACATGACCACTCCCAGAGGCTTCTAGAACTCTCAAAGCAGTCATTTTGATGGCTCCCTTTTAAATCAATGGAATTCTGAAAATATCCAGAAAAAATCTTTTAAAATTATTGTAAGTATTCACTTTTTACACTACTATTATGAAATAAACTCAGATCCAATGGTTTCAATCTGCAAAAGGAGTTAACCCCTCCCACCTGTTCACGGAGCTCAATGGAGCACCTTCAGACCTTAGTACGAAATGTAATTTGTACTATGGTGTGGTACGACCAGGCTATATCTGCTGTGTTTCTTAGCTGTATTGTACATTGCATTTGATTGCAGTGTTTACTATTTGCAGATGAATGACATGTACAAGCTCAACAGTTCTCATTGTACAGTCTGACAGTAGCAGTAAGGAAAGTCCGGAAACTCCTTTACACAGAGAGGTTGAATCTGTCTGTCTGAAGCCGCTTTCCAGAGCAGACTGAGTGTCCTGCAGGGGGCGACAGTCATGGTCCACGTAGATGTTAGTTTGTCCAGTTTGTCACCTGCTGCACTGTGTCCAGGGAACAGGACAGAGCTGGACTTTCTTTGTCCAGAGGGTGAAGAGGACTGGCACAATGACGGTCTGCAGGGGACCCCCCACAGTGAGGTCAGATCCTCAGACACCATGTCCCCAAACTGGGATCTCTCTGTGATGTAGTCCACGATCCACTCAGGCAGAGTGGTGTGGAGGTGTCCCAGGACCAGTCTCTCCAGTGTCTTCACAAGGTGGGATGTCAATATCTACTGTCAACATGACTGTTTTGTCAACATGACTGTTATGGGAGTTACAGGTCAATCAACTCTTTACTGAAAAACAAAATAAATCATAAAATAATGACATAGAAATAAACTAGATAAAGAAACGAGATGGTCTCGTAGGAAAACCAAAAATGAAGACAACTTTCCAAAACGAAAAGCCGACAAATTGACTGCTCATAGAGTTGTGTATACAACATGGCACAGGCGTGTCCCTGAGTTTGGACCATAGACTGTATATACAGTATTAATAGACAGAGTCACGCCTATCTCCGCCGTTCTAACTAATGGGCCAAAAAATGTGAGCTTTGGGCCAAGAGCCAACTTTTGGTCCATCCTGTAAGGACGTTTTCGAGAGGTCTGCCAATGCTATATGTTAGCATTGGCTAATTCTACTTCTGGGTCCACCCCCATCGGCCCGGGCTGGTATTGCAAGCATGTCAGCGCACGTCATTTTGGACACTTTTGAGCTGGGACCCGCCCTCACTGGTTTGGACACAACAGGAGCTGTGTGGTTGAGTCGGTTAAACCATGGGTTAAACACACACAACCATAGATGGAATGATACATGTTGGATCTCAATATTCATTGCATTAAAAAAGTACATTAGCTACTTTCTTTGTTACAATTTGAGCTGAATTCGTCACATGTATGGATTATTATTATTATTACCTAAAGTTTGTGAACGTGATACTTGTGAGAAAGAGCCAGACTTGAGAGCTGATTGGCTGAGCATGTTTTCTGTTGTATTTTCAGAGTCTCCAGCAGGTGGCAGCACTCTCCTTAAATATAATTTGAATGTCCTTGCATTTTGCATTTGAAACATCAAAGATTTTTGTATAAAAGAATAGCAAACAGACACGTGTTTTGTGTTTTTAGAAAAGAGGTGAGTCCGCATTAATATTATGTGAATCAGAACATTCTTTACCAAAGTGCCACGAGTAATCAATTCAATTACATTTAATTTGTATCGCCCTAAACTTCAGCAGTTGTGTTTGAGGATTTTACAAACTTGTTGATTCGCCGATTGAACTCAGTGGAGCTATTGGTCCATGGGGAGCGGGATCACCACTGTCCAGTAATGTAAACAAATGTCCCTACGACCGAGACCCGACTGCAGGGATCGGATAAGTCCTGTAGATCCAGAACTGAGGCTTTAGATCCAGGACTGAGGCTTTAGATCCAGGACTGAGGCTTTAGATCCAGGACTGAGGCTGTAGATCCAGGACTGAGGATGTAGACCCAGGACACAGGCTGTAGGCCCAGGACTGAGGCTGTAGATCCAGGACTGAGGCTTTAGATCCAGGACTGAGGCTGTAGATCCAGAACTGAGGCTTTAGATCCAGGACTGAGGCTTTAGATCCAGGACTGAGGCTGTAGATCCAGGACTGAGGCTGTAGATCCAGGACTGAGGCTGTAGATCCAGGACTGAGGATGTAGACCCAGGACTCAGGCTGTAGGCCCAGGACTGAGGCTGTAGATCCAGGACTGAGGCTGAAGATCCAGGACTGAGGCTGTAGATCCAGGACTGAGGCTGTAGACCCAGGACTGAGGCTGTAGACCCAGGACTAAGACTGTAGATCCAGGACTGAGGCTGTAGATCCAGGACTGAGGCTGTAGATCCAGGACTGAGGCTGTAGATCCAGGACTGAGGCTGTAGATCCAGGACTGAGGCTGTAGATCCAGGACTGAGGCTGTAGACCCAGGACTGAGGCTGTAGATCCAGGACTGAGGCTGTAGATCCAGGACTGAGGCTGTAGATCCAGGACTGAGGCTGTAGACCCAGGACTAAGACTGTAGATCCAGGACTGAGGCTGTAGATCCAGGACTGAGGCTGTAGATCCAGGACTGAGATTGTAGATCCAGGACTGAGGCTGTAGACCCAGGACTGAGGCTGTAGATTCAGGACTGAGGCTTTAGATCCAGGACTGAGGCTGTAGATCCAGGACTGAGGCTGTAGACCCAGGACTAAGACTGTAGATCCAGGACTGCGACTGTAGATCCAGGACTGCGACTGTAGATCCAGGACTGAGGCTGTAGATCCAGGACTGAGGCTGTAGACCCAGGACTAAGACTGTAGATCCAGGACTGCGACTGTAGATCCAGGACTGAGACTGTAGATCCAGGACTGAGACTGTAGACCCAGGACTGAGGCTGTAGATCCAGGACTGAGGCTGTAGATCCAGGACTGAGGCTGTAGATCCAGGACTGAGGCTGTAGACCCAGGACTGAGGCTGTAGATCCAGGACTGAGTCTGTAGATCCAGGACTGAGGCTGTAGACCCAGGACTGAGGCTGTAGACCCAGGGCTGAGGCTGTAGATCCAGGACTGAGGCTGTAGATCCAGGACTGAGGCTGTAGATCCAGGACTGAGGCAGTAGATCCAGGACTGCGACTGTAGATCCAGGACTGAGACTGTAGATCCAGGACTGAGGCTGTAGACCCAGGACTGAGGCTGTAGATCCAGGACTGAGGCTGTAGATCCAGGACTGAGGCTGTAGACCCAGGACTGAGGCTGTAGACCCAGGACTGAGGCTGTAGACCCAGGACTAAGACTGTAGATCCAGGACTGAGCCTGTAGACCCAGGACTGAGGCTGTAGACCCAGGACTGAGGCTGTAGATCCAGGACTGAGGCTGTAGATCCAGGACTGAGGCTGTAGATCCAGGACTGAGGCTGTATATCCAGGACTAAGACTGTAGATCCAGGACTGAGGCTTTAGACCCAGGACTAAGACTGTAGATCCAGGACTGAGGCTTTAGACCCAGGACTAAGACTGTAGATCCAGAACTGAGGCTGTAGATCCAGGACTGAGGCTGTAGATCCAGAACTGAGGCTGTAGACCCAGGACTGAGGCTGTAGACCCAGGACTAAGACTGTAGATCCAGGACTGAGGCTGTAGATCCAGGACTCAGAATCAGAATCAGAATCAGAATCATTTTTATTGCCAACGTAAGTAACGGGAGGTCACAGACTTGGAAATTGCTTTGGCTCAGTGCAACAGTCAAACAGTCAAAAAGAGATAATAAGGACTGAGGCTGTAGATCCAGGACTGAGGCTGTAGATCCAGGACCCTAGCCCAGGACTAAGGCAGTAGAGTATAGACCCAGGATTGAAGAGGCTCTCAGGCTGAAGCACACTAATATTGATATCAATATACTACAATCGTGTTCATTCTTTGTTTTGTTCTTATTAGAGTGAAAAAGTGTAAAATTCTCCTTTCTGTACAACTTTACATAATTTCAATAAAACACGGTCTGCTGTAATCTTAAACTTCCTAAAACTGCGCTTAGGCTGAAGTATTGTTTGAACTGAATCATGTCGGTGATTAACTCTACACGTCAAGTTTGGGATCTATGAAAGAAAAACTTAACCTGGAACTTAGCTTCATTTGCACAGACCTGTTCCTACATTCTTGTATTTATGTGATTTTAACTGATATCATGTGTTAATTATATTATATTTGGTCCAAAGGGTCAGAAATGAGGCAGACTGTGATTCACACTCAGCAAAAATAACAATTGAGGAGTTTTGAGCGTTTCTTTAGTTTGAAAGTTTTGTAAATGAGGCCCTGAACCTGTGACTTGGCCCCGTGCCATTTCCTGGGGCTTCTCTGGAGATAGAGTCCCGTACTCTCTCCAGATGTTTTGAGACCATTAAAATTTGTGTAATTTTGTAATAAAAAAAAAAAGAAGAGGTTAAAACTGCGGGAACTCCCAGATTGAACGAGTGGAATTATGAGCATTTCTCAAAAAAGTGTAGTTTTACCAGTTTTATAGGTATTATATGAGGTTTTAACTATTGCTCCTGTTTAATAACTGATCAAACTTTAAATAATAACAAGTTTGATGAAAGGCTAATTATGCTATCTGCTGCAAGTAAACAGTGTGCTGTTACTATGGTAACCAGCATTTTCTCTTTTCTGGTGGAAAACCAAGATGACTCGGCTCAGAACCAGCCCCAGCTCAGGACCGGCCTGGTACCAGTCTAGGACCAGTCAGAAACCAGTCCAGGACCAGCATGGGACCAGCACCTTGAATAAAGAGACTCTGACTACTAGTTTAATTGCTGATTGCCATGACACCAAAAATGGCTAAATTAATTTGATAAAGCGTGTTTGGTTTCACCTGTAGACCAAATATCTAAAATTGTGGACCTTTAGTTTCTACTTTTTTCTAGTTCTTTGATCCCTGCGGCTTATATAGCGATGTGGTTCATATGTGTATTTTCATTGTGGTTGAGTTTTTGGAGCAGAGGATATGGACTCTATTATTTTGATTCCAAAGTTTTAGTACTAGCTATAGGACACTCATTTATTGTCAGAATAGATTAAAGTAAATTAGAAATAAACGGCAAGCTGGTGGGAAATGTGGATGAAATTATCCTTTCTCTTAAAATGTTGCTAGTCCAGAAAGTACGGCACACCAGACATAAAATCAACATGTTCAACCTTCAGGCAGAGAAGCTTTCTATGATCACAACGCTTACATAACACAGCTTTACCTCATAAACTGTAAATATTGACCTTAACCACAGTATGTTTAGTAAAATGGCCTAAAACCACGAGTCCCTGGCCCCTCCCACCTGGGCCCTCCCTCCTGGCCCCTCCCACCTGGCCCCTCCCTCCTGGGCCGCGTCCAGCAGAGGCCAGCGGGTGTAAAGATCTGTGCCAGTGTCTTATTTATGGCAGCAAATATAGCCGGACTCACTTCTCACCTCCGAGTTGAAGCTAACTTTAGCCGGCCTCAGATCAGTGCTTGCATTTAGCCCCAGCGCTGCTCTCATGCCTGCGTCTGTCCAACCGTCTAAAAATACCCCCCCTCCAGGCCCGGCCTTGTACCCAGGACCCTCGAGATCCGGTTACGGTCCCAGCTGGAGCGCAGAACTCAGTGACCAAGTGCCCGAAAGCATGAGAGAGGATTCTGCTGCTTAATGGAAAATGGGATTGCTTTTGGGTTGTGAGAATGTGGCTTTCTAAGATTGGGGACGAGGTGTTCGTCTGTGAAACGGGATCTGACTGGGTTACCAGCTGTGGTTTGGTAAATGGAGAACTACTGTGCCACTGCCATCTATCACAACTTATCAACTTATTATTATACAACATCTAGGCCTGTTGGGTTTCAGGTTTTGGGTATAATGCAGGAGGAGTTTTACATTCAAGAGAAATTTCTGTTATTCTTTTGAATGCAATCAATCCCATGACTGTTTATACACCATATAAAACAATCATAACCAAATTTCGACAGTGGTATTATTTGCAGAATTGTTGGCAAAATACTTCTAAGACCAGCTCTGGGCAGCGATTAGTGCTCGTACTTCACAGCAAGAAGGTCCTGTAGGTTCTTTTCCACCTCCAGGCCTTTCTGTGTGGTTAACATGTTCTCCCAGTGTCTGCGCAAGTTTCCTCCGAGTGCTCCGGTTTCCACTACCCCTAAAAACATGTACAAAAACAGTGCCATCCAGTTCTCTGATGATACTGCAGTGTGAGTCTGCGGACTGTAGGGGGCTGTCCCTCTATCTACTTCAAAGAGGTCGACATCTTGAACCTGAAGACACTACTTTTGAATCAAAGACCACTCTATTTATAGATGGAGTGCAAATAGAGGAAGTGGTCTCGATAAAGTCTCGACCTACATATCGACAAACTTTTTAAATGGAGTGACTTTTTGTGCACAAAACTGGCCCTGAGATGACACTTTCTGAGACTCTTGCGGCTGCTTGGAGTGTCAACAAGAACAATGACAATAACAACAATGGTTACTACAGCTCACTCTTTGAAAGCTGTCTGAGAAACTGGTCTGGTTCAACAAATCCAGAGGCAGCAAAGGTCATTGGAGCTGAAGTTCCCTCCCTCCAGCTGATCTACGAGTAGACCACTCTCTCACTGGCTCAAAAAATGGACAGTACTGCATGGACGGCTATGACACCCAGGACAAAAAGTGTCAGTTTTCATCCAGGACCTTTGTTTTTTTTTTTTTTACAATTGGACAAAACAGTGACTTCAAAGCACTACTACACTTTTATGTTTATTAATTTTCCTGTAACGTTGATTTTTTTATTAGTATTATTATATATTATTGTCATGGTGTGGATTTTGTTATTTTGTACTTTCGTTTCATTTTGACATTCTGTGGTTTGGTTTTAGTTTGACTTCCTGTCCTGTTTTCCCCTGTCTTGTTTGTCTGCCCCGCCCTGATGTTTCCGCCCAGGTGTTTCACCTGTGTCTGTATGTACCTGTGTCTGTATGTAACTGTGTCTGTATGTACCTGTGTCTGTATGTAACTGTGTCTGTATGTACCTGTGTCTGTATGTAACTGTGTCTGTATGTAACTGTGTCTGTATGTACCTGTGTCTGTATGTACCTGTGTCTGTATGTACCTGTGTCTGTATGTAACTGTGTCTGTATGTACCTGTGTCTGTATGTACCTGTGTCTGTATGTACCTGTGTCTGTATGTACCTGTGTCTGTATGTAACTGTGTCTGTATGTACCTGTGTCTGTATGTAACTGTGTCTGTATGTACCTGTGTCTGTATGTACCTGTGTCTGTATGTACCTGTGTCTGTATGTAACTGTGTCTGTATGTAACTGTGTCTGTATGTACCTGTGTCTGTATGTACCTGTGTCTGTATGTAACTGTGTCTGTATGTACCTGTGTCTGTATGTAACTGTGTCTGTATGTACCTGTGTCTGTATGTAACTGTGTCTGTATGTACCTGTGTCTGTATGTACCTGTGTCTGTATGTACCTGTGTCTGTATGTACCTGTGTCTGTATGTAACTGTGTCTGTATGTACCTGTGTCTGTATGTACCTGTGTCTGTATGTACCTGTGTCTGTATGTACCTGTGTCTGTATGTACCTGTGTCTGTATGTACCTGTGTCTGTATGTACCTGTGTCTGTATGTACCTGTGTCTGTATGTAACTGTGTCTGTATGTACCTGTGTCTGTATGTACCTGTGTCTGTATGTACCTGTGTCTGTATGTACCTGTGTCTGTATGTACCTGTGTCTGTATGTAACTGTGTCTGTATGTACCTGTGTCTGTATGTACCTGTGTCTGTATGTACCTGTGTCTGTATGTACCTGTGTCTGTATGTACCTGTGTCTGTATGTAACTGTGTCTGTATGTACCTGTGTCTGTATGTACCTGTGTCTGTATGTACCTGTGTCTGTATGTACCTGTGTCTGTATGTACCTGTGTCTGTATGTACCTGTGTCTGTATGTAACTGTGTCTGTATGTACCTGTGTCTGTATGTACCTGTGTCTGTATGTACCTGTGTCTGTATGTACCTGTGTCTGTATGTACCTGTGTCTGTATGTACCTGTGTCTGTATGTACCTGTGTCTGTATGTACCTGTGTCTGTATGTAACTGTGTCTGTATGTACCTGTGTCTGTATGTACCTGTGTCTGTATGTACCTGTGTCTGTATGTACCTGTGTCTGTATGTACCTGTGTCTGTATGTAACTGTGTCTGTATGTACCTGTGTCTGTATGTACCTGTGTCTGTATGTACCTGTGTCTGTATGTACCTGTGTCTGTATGTACCTGTGTCTGTATGTAACTGTGTCTGTATGTACCTGTGTCTGTATGTACCTGTGTCTGTATGTACCTGTGTCTGTATGTAACTGTGTCTGTATGTAACTGTGTCTGTATGTACCTGTGTCTGTATGTACCTGTGTCTGTATGTACCTGTGTCTGTATGTAACTGTGTCTGTATGTACCTGTGTCTGTATGTACCTGTGTCTGTATGTACCTGTGTCTGTATGTACCTGTGTCTGTATGTAACTGTGTCTGTATGTACCTGTGTCTGTATGTAACTGTGTCTGTATGTACCTGTGTCTGTATGTACCTGTGTCTGTATGTACCTGTGTCTGTATGTACCTGTGTCTGTATGTACCTGTGTCTGTATGTACCTGTGTCTGTATGTAACTGTGTCTGTATGTACCTGTGTCTGTATGTACCTGTGTCTGTATGTACCTGTGTCTGTATGTACCTGTGTCTGTATGTAACTGTGTCTGTATGTACCTGTGTCTGTATGTACCTGTGTCTGTATGTACCTGTGTCTGTATGTAACTGTGTCTGTATGTACCTGTGTCTGTATGTACCTGTGTCTGTATGTACCTGTGTCTGTATGTACCTGTGTCTGTATGTACCTGTGTCTGTATGTACCTGTGTCTGTATGTACCTGTGTCTGTATGTACCTGTGTCTGTATGTAACTGTGTCTGTATGTACCTGTGTCTGTATGTACCTGTGTCTGTATGTACCTGTGTCTGTATGTACCTGTGTCTGTATGTACCTGTGTCTGTATGTACCTGTGCTTCTCTCCTCTTGTTGCTGGTCCATTGTATTGTCAATGTCTGTTCCGTCGTGTTCCTGGTTCCGTGTTCCTTTGGATTTTGAGTTGTCTTCATCTGGACTTTTATTTTATTATCATTAAACCCTTATTTTTTGGCATTCCTGCTTTTTGGGTCCTCATTCATTTCACCACATGACATATATTTTTATATTATTATTATTGTATTTGTATCATGCAGATCTGTGTAGCTCTGTATCACACAGCAAATTGAAACACTGAAAGCTTGTCTGGTGCACACTGGGGACTTTCGCACATATATTCACACACGGGCGGCACGGTGGCTGAGTGGATAGCGCTCTCGCCTCTCAGCAAGAAGGTCCTGGGTTCGAATCCCGGTTGGACCAGGGCCTTTCTGAGTGGAGTTTGCATGTTCTCCCCGTGTCTGCTCCGGTTTCCCCTACCACTAAAAATATGTACAATAGGTCTGGCAAAAAAAAACAATTGTAAACTGCTTTGAGACTCTGATGTGCAGTGAAAAGGTGTTATATAAAAAAAGCTTACTTACTATTCCAATGTGGTTTTTACTGCAAATGGCAAATAAACTGAATCTGAAATTCCCCACTGTATAGAACGAATTAAAGATCTCTTAAACTTATACTTCAGTTCCTTTTTCCATCTGCAGCGTTCAGAGAGAGCCGGGCTAACTGTGCCATCCCAGTTTACGACCTGTCCACTAATGTGTGACATGGAAAATACCAGCGCCGCCACCTCTGACCTGTGGCCTCTGGAAAAGTGAGGCTAACCCAGCAGCTATGTAGGTCTACAGTCGCGGTTTGCCACAAGATGTCTGCGTTTCACAAAGTTATGGTTATGTCTGTTTAGCAAATAGAAATAGCCAAAGTGGGCCTCGTTGTTGAAACATATGGTAGTAGATAACAGCAGAAACAGGTGCCACGCCCTCCGACAAAGATAGTTATATGTTGCACCTTCACTGAGAATATTTTTTTACGCTTGCAAATCAAATACATCGACGAAGCATGAAGCAGCTCATATAAACTATAACGGCTGCAGCTAATGGTTCCATAGACTATAAACTACTTAATTATCAAAGAAAGTACATTTTGTCCACATATAGGCCCATCTTGAAGGTTTTCATGATTCTGGATCTGGTTCAGCTTTCATTTTAATAAGAGTCATGCTTTGGTTTTATACACCGTTAGTGCTTTTTTTAATACTTCACATCGCATTATTCTTTCACTCTATACAATACTACAGTAGCCACAGCTGCCCTGGGGCACACTGACAGATACGAGGCCACCAGTAGGTGTCATCGGCCCTTCCCAACACCACCAACCATTCACACACACACCAGACTCATTCTGGTGTCTTCAAGTGTCTTTCCTATTAGCTCCCAGTATTCCCAGTATTAACCAGGCCCCGCCCTTCTTAGCCTCAGAAGTCTGATGGGATTTGGCCACAATGAACTGTTTTAACACAACAGGATTTAATGACAAGCCGATGATCAAAGCACTTCAGTAAATGCAGTCTATTTTGACATTAACATTCTGACAATGAAGCCAAAATAATAAACTCTGCTCTGACTATAGCGAGATCACAGAATTTGAAGAAGAGGTTTATAGTCCAGAAAGTTCCTATTTAAGTTGATCACACTTTAGAAGAATGTTCAGGTGAAGCAGGAAAGAAATTCAGATTATTGGTTTTATTTGCTGTAAATGTGAAAAAATAATTATATTGTTTTGCTTTTTTGTACTTCTTATTTGTTTGTTTGTTTTGTCTTTGTTCTGTGTTTTGGTTTTTGCTTATGTCTCGTTCATTACTTTGTGTATTTGCATGTCTTGATTGTCATTGGTCTTAAGTAAAACAAAAAGAAACAGAATAACTTTGGAATTAAATTTGGAAGAGAACTTGCCACAGAAATTATTTAATAGAAATAATGCAAACAAGTCCTCAAAGGTTTCATAAGGAAATGGAAGCGAATAGGAATAAGATTAAAATGCCAGTCAATTTAAAATGACTTTGAGTAACTTTCTGGAGATGACGAGTTGTTTCGATCTTGTAAATGATGACAAAAGAACTGTATCAATTTTCCCCTCCCTTTAAGAACTGCAGAAGGTAATTAGCTATAAAACTACAGTCTTGTACAAGCATCACTGCTAAATGCATATTGTAACGTACATTGTCCCGAAAAATGAATAAATGAGATAAATGAAAAGAAAAATAGCTACCAATTTACAAGTACATATGCTTACAAATGACACTTCTAAAATAGGCTAAATGATACATGGCTCATTTTCGGTCTGCCCGCTGTTACTTCTGGTGTATAATATGCAAGTGACCAAAATAAAAAAAAATAAAACAAATCGTACACAATTAGGAAGACTAAAAGACACAGTTATCATTTCTCTTCTAAAACTAAAAGCCCTGAAAATGGCGGAGTACGCCGGCTTGACTGATACTTTTGTCACCTCTGTTTGTTAGCCCCATGTTAGTTCTGGTATATCTATGTTACTGGGACAAACTGTATCGATCACAACTCCTCGTGCGCTCAGCAGGGGGCGCTCGGGAGCCTCTTAATTACGCCCCACCCGTCCTCCGCTTCTCCTGCACCCAGCACCGCCCCTGCCAGCTGCCCCGGTGGATCCACACTCCGCCCGCAGGAGCAGCAGTACAGACGCCTCTGCAACTACCTCCACAACCACTCACAACCAGGATTACAACTACACCGACTGGATCCCCGGCTCTACCCGCTCTGGCTTAAGCTCACACCGGGGAAAAAAAAAAAAAAAAACACCCTGACCATACCGCTTCTTTCTCTCACCATGGGGCTTCCCTCTTGACCCAAGCCCCGGGCGCACACAAGCCGAGGTGGAGGCACGTATTCTCGGGTTCGCCCCAGCCCTAGAGCCGCTGACTAGTCTTCTTCACCGGTGGGAATCTTGCATTTTTCCGCAGGGGAATGGTGCTCCAGACCCACGGCTTGGTCAGACAGAGAAAGGCGAGGGGAACACGGGCGGAGAGCGGTGCGAGCGAGCGGACTGTGGCTGTGCTTTTGACCGAAGGGAGCGGCTCCAGTCGGGATTGTTTTTGTGGCTTGTGGAGTTAGCTTCGGAGCAGCTAACCCAGGCTAACCCAGGCTAACCCAGGCTAAACCCAGGCTAACCCAGGCTAAACCCAGGCTAAACCCAGGCGACCCTCCGCCCCAATAAACATCTCAGGGTTTTAACCTTAAACAAACAAGGCTAACTCTTTGTGTGAGCCTTTTGCCAATTGGAAACTACAATTAATTATTTTATACATTTTCTACAAATCATGAACATTTTATGAAAGAAATTGTTTTTAAAAGTGAATAAAAACATTGTTTGCTAAATGCTGTTAGCCTGAATGTAGTCGACACCTTTTGTTCTTTTGAGTTATTTGGAAGTTTTTTTCTCCACGGTGGATGCTGGCGTTAAAGTTTTCTTACAAATATGATGATTATAAGCCGAAAACCAGAGGGTCCAATCGCAACAGGTAACTATGCAAAACTTTTACTTTGCTGCAACTTTGTGTGTTTAAAAAAAAAATATATATATTTACTGTTTTTTTTTAAATTTATTTTTCATGTTAATGCAACTAATTATCACAATAATCCAGCAAACACAACAGTAATACATTCCAAATATTATTGAAATGTGTTGACAACTTTTTCAAGACTTCAGAAAGTTCGCAGTTAATGTTTTCATTAAAAATAGTTTCTCAAAGGCTGATAAATACCCATACAACGTACAATACAATAGTTTTTACCTAAAATTGCACACACAAAAACAACAAATGTAGCTATAATGACCTATTTTATACACATCTAACCATGTAATGCATCCGATTTCTCTATTATGCGCTTGTTCTGATCCGCCAAGTGGCCTTATTTTGCTAACTTAATTTGCTGTCAGCCAAAATTCCCATTTGCATGTCAGACATCTGTTTTCTCTCCATCTTTCTTTCGTGGAACTGTGGCAACTCCTCATGGCATTTACAGAAATATACCGGTGCTGAAGTTGCTTTGATCGCTGTTTCTTTTTTATTTTTTCCCCCTCGGTCCTTGCGTGTAGGGTGTCGCTGCATGTCACCTCTTGCAGACGTGGTTGACAGATGCAATTTTTCCAAAGAGCTTTTCTTACCAGAGTTCAGGCCGTGCATGCTGTCGTAAACATGTTTTCTTTTGGCCTGAGTTGCCATATCAATCACGAGACTCACGCTTCCTTCCACTGGCGATGTTTTGGGTCACACTCTGGAGGATTTCTGTCTTTGCAGTAAGATTATTCATGTTATTTATAGCTATGCATGGTGTGTCTTATCTCTGCTGCTTAGCCTGAAGTTTATGGTTGAATTACCAAGGCAAAAGTGTATTACTCACGTGTCTTTACTGTGTAATGGACCAGGCCTTATCTTCATGGTCACTTTGTTGAGATTGTGGTGCCATGTGCAAAACGTGTAAACTTTTATCGCTTGTTGTGTCTGAAAATCTGATGTATTTTGGTTAGTATCTCATGCTTTCGATTTGGGTGCATTCCTTACATATCAAATTGAATGTAAGGCCATTTCACATATATTTTATAAGTCAGCAAGGAAAATAATGAGCACATGTATATATGCTGGATTATAGCCACAAAGTATTTAATCTAATTCTCATTAGGGGTGTAATTGCGATATCGATTTTGAAAAAATATATATATATATTGTAATTTTTTTTTTCAATAAAATGGCTACATTACGCATCTCCATTCCGTTTATCATGAAATAAAGTGTATTTTTTCTTTTATTTATGCCATAAATTGGCATATTGTATATTTATGACCAATATATCGATAATCCTCATATCGTGATAAAATTGTTATCGTGATAATATCGTTATCGTGAGCTTTGTATCGTGTATCGTATGGTATTGTGAGGTACCCTTAGGTTCCCACCCCTAATTCTCCTTCACAGTCCCAAGGCAGGCACAGACACAAGTATAATCAAAAATTACTTAAATTTAAAATCAGGAATCCACTATTCAGTGGGTTAAAGGATTGGGTCTAGAACTGGCATGAATGTTGGCTTTGGCAGTACACTTAAAAGACCCTGGACTTGAATCATGAGAGAAAGGACTGGGATGGACTCCTGTATACTACTATATTCTTTAAACATGATATGAGACATTCCCAATAAGCATTTCATTAGACAAGCAGGTGATGGATCTTTTACTAAAAATCACATTTTCAGCTTGTTTTTGCTATCAACACAATTCTAGTTCTATATACTGCCTATGAAAACCAATCCACTGGTCTACAAAGCTAACCTGCATTGAAGCTAAAAATAAGCCTGACACCGGTCTAAAACTGTGCCAAAACCAGGTCTGAAACTGGGGTGAAACACTAACGCTGTGTCCTTTGTTGCACCTATACTTTTGAAAGCGGACCCTTTTATGGGACCATTAGCTGCAGCCGTTAGCCGGGCGCGTCGGCTAACACATGCTCAGCTGTATTTGTGAAGGGGGTAATTTCACAGTGCGATGCCGGGGTCACATGCTCTGGGCTGTCTGTCTGTTTGCGGTCACAGTGGGTCTCGAGGAGAATGTTTCTTTATTTTAGCCTGAATTTTCTCAGTGTTGGGACAGAATGTTCTCAGATTTCAGAAAAGGATGAGTGGATACGGGTGGAACGACCAAAAATACTCAAAAGTAGGAGTTAACTCAATACACAAGGCCAGGGTTTTTACTCTGACATCTGTAATTGGCAGCTTATGGCGCTTATATAAATTGCTTTTAGAGTCACAGCTATAACTCAATAAATAAATTATCCAATTTTGTGATAAATAATAGTTCACTGCATTTCATAAGGAATTCAAAGCAGTCAGGAGGCCAAGCCGTTCAATAGCTCAGACTGTACAAAAACAAATTATAAAAGTATTTTTGATGCAAACCTTAATCATACAATGTTCTCAAGCGACACTAGCTTATCATTTACAAGTTTCTAAGGAAGTTAATGCAAGTTTAATTGTATAGCACAAGGCAAGTCAAAGTGCTTACCAAAAATAGACAATCCTTCAGTTATGTGCACAGCTAAACAGACATGTTTTAACCAGTCTTGCATTTTCAGGAAGTATTTTTCTGCATAAATCTGAAAAAAGGCCTCCCCATGTGTAACCCTGACTCAGTCTCTGTGCTCCTCAGAGTCAAAGTTGGTTCAGAGCAAGTTTAGGCACAGGAAGCCAGTGCAGAGACCTGAGAACTGTATTAAAATGATAGGAATACACAGAAGTAGCTACAATTACACTGGCACCTCTACCTCTACCTCTACCCACACAGGCCAACAATAAGTCCTTATCACTTGTGAGCGGTCTTACTGAGATACATTATGGATTGTTCCTCTGTTCTGGGCTAATGCGTCGTTTCCAAGCACCAGCAGAGGTTTAATCTGTCCCTGAGCTGCCTCGCTGACGCACCTGTGCTCCTCTCATGGGCCTATCCTAGTCAACACACTGTTTCCATCTTTCCCTTTACGTAATAGGATCATAAACTGCATCATGGGCTGTGTACATGTAACACCTGTGAAAGTGCCTGCGTGTATAATTGATCTGGAGCTAATCAAAGGAGAGGAACGGATGTGGTTGTTAGCATTGGATTAGCTTAGTGTGTATTTCTAACTTTAACTCCAAAAGACAAAAACAATACTAGGATGTAAAAATAGATAGAAATACACAGGTTCAAAGCCCTCTCGCTTAATACAAAACACACACAAGTCATACAACTCTCCGTCCCTACACTATTTCTGCTACTTCTGTGTGTGCTCAGAAGCCCCAGTATTACTTGACGTCACAGCATCACGCAAAGGGACGTTGCCTCTAGAATTTCAATTGTGTGTCGCCCTAAATCACAGCAGTCGTCTCAGAGGACTTTGCAAAGTTGTCGATTCGCCAACAACATCTCGGGACAATCAAACCGATCGAAACACAAGGAAATGCAATAATAACAAATTGGTCCATAGGGAGCAGGATGACCACTGTCCAGAAGTGTGTTGAAATGTCAATGAAAGTCCAGGATCATCACAAATTAGACTATTAACTCTTTAGGTGCCAAAGTAGCAGGATTTCCTCTGGTACTCTTAAATACAGGATGCCCTTTATACAGTGACATGGCCTCTCACAAATAAAAACCCTTCTTTTGTATCTGTTTTTGATGTCAGTAGTCTTCTATCTCTTATATCATTTCAGGTCTCCATCTTTTGTCTATTTCTGATAAAGCTCTGGCAAGTAATTAACACTTTTCCAGAAAAAAAAAAAATTCTAGTTCTAGTTACTTAGCTTCTTATGGCAACTAAGACACTAGTCAACACGGAAAACCTGTATTGAAGCTAAAACAAATGTCATAGAAAAAAGTCTGGCGTCTAAAGGATTAAATTATTCAGATTCAGATTTACTGACACATTAGAGCCATGTAGTATGTGGTACTTCGCTTATTGCCTTAGTATTGTTGGGTACTTAAATATTGGTCAATCCTTGTCAATGTTACACCGGGCATCATCTTAGTTAAAGCCAACTCCTGAATGAAACTGTCTGTCTGGTTTACACACAGATAAGTGTCCAGTTGTGCGTAATACAACCATTCACTGTTCCTTGCCAAGGGTGTTGACCTTTGTCCGCACCGTTGGTCTCTCACTGGGACAATGATCTCACATTTCTCACTCAAGGACGAGATTGTACGTGACCGTTCGAATCGAGGAGGTTCCCTTTTGCTTTACGAGTTTAAAAGAAGGAAACACACCTCAGATATCCTTCTTCATTGGTTAGTCTTGTTCTCCTTTGCGCTCATAGTAACGGTAGAGAAGGGCACTTGTATTTCTTGGCTTCACTCGAGCTGCAGATGAACAGCCGGTGTCCGGGGTCTGTCATCTGAGAAACGTCTCCCGTCCCACAGACCCAAATGCCTCACGCTATCGCCCACTCCACCATCGCCGACGTCAGCACTATTCGCACTCAAAACACACAAAACAGTGTGACGACTGAACGATGAATGAAAATATGTTGCGTCAAAATGCCTTAAAAATGCCATTCTCGCCTGTCTTGTGGAAGCCCAGTTTTTGCCAAGTGGTTTGATGCCTTCTTCTTGCTGTAGATAAGCTGTAATAAGTTAAATGATGGACAGTACTTGCTGGTCTTTTGGAGGAGAGGTTATTGATGTACAAGGCCAAAAACAGTTACCATAGACTTGGCTTTTTCTTAACATTTGCTAACTTAGCTTAATTTTATGATTTATTATAAGGGTTATCTGTATATCTGTGTATGCCTAGAGTGATAGAAGTACTGCCATCAGCTGGGAATTGAACTAATCTCTGTCTACATCTGGCATTAGTCAAAAATATAGATCTATTAAGTGAAGTATTCCAGCTGAGCCACGACTCTTAACATTTGACTCCAGTGAATGATTGTGATGCTGTTTTGTTAGAGCGCCCCCTGGAGTGCAGAAAGGGGTTTTGACACAGCTCTATCTCCAGAGCGGACGCCGTAGCACACGTTCCTGTTCATGGCCATATTGTTTTGACTGGGTTGTTCTGAGTTGAATTGCTCCAATAGCTGTGGGATAAGTGTGATTTCAAAGGATTTAGATAGGACTTTTAACTTGACCAAATGAAGTCACATGCCTCAAAGAAAATGTAATGACAAACTGTGCATTTCCAGGAAAAACCACAACATTTAGAGGTGGAGAAGAAAGTAAACTCCAGGACGGACAAGGATTGCACCTTAAATGAGCTAGGTTGTGAAAGCCTAGTACTTGTAATTTAATTCTGTAATCAAACTTTTAAGGAATCTGACTAATCCGGCTTGCTCTAAATGACTGTAATACGTCTTTCAACTCTTGATTGGCCTAGATAAGAAAAGGTTTCTAAACGGTTATTGAATAATTGAAAGAGAGAAAAGCAACGGCAGAAATGTCTTTGTAGCCTGTTTCCGAAGAATGTACATGTGATTCTTTTTAGCCTTGAGATAAACTCTATACGTACATTTCTGAACTGCGTCTGTATTTACTGTGATCGACAGGTCAAACTCCACACACACACACACACACACACACACACACACTCCCTCCCTCAGTGTCCACACACACCTGAAGATCCGGGCCAGTCCCGCAGACACTGTCGTCACTCTAACATCTGCTGCTCACATTAGGGGCCGGTAATGCCTCTGTGCCACATTTAGACCTGCGCAGCACTAAGCCCCATCTGAGCTCTGCAGGCCTCGCACCGAACACCCGTACAAGACAATTAATGCTGCGACAGATTAATTAAAGGTCCATCTTGTCTTGCAGCTCACAAGCTGTTTGTCCAAAGTATAGCCCCGTTTCCTCCAGCCTTACTTGGCCCTACTCTACTCAGATCTACCTCACCTGGTTGCGTTTCCATTACAATTTAGGATCTGGTACCGTATCCTCAAGATCTACCCACAACAAAGCAATATCTGGGGGAAATGTCTTTGTAACCATGGCTTTCAGCAGCTGCACTCCCTCAAATCTGCACCAAATTAAGTGTTTTTAACCCTAACCATATCACTAACGCTGGCCAAAGCCTGATTGTTACTCTCAAAATGTGAATATTAATACAACACCAGGATTTTGGTGAGTGCCTTCCAGCATCACTCTGGCTAATCACTAAAAAAAACCTACAAGTTAAACAGGGCGGGTTGGCTAGGGTAAGTGGAAACGGGGCTTATCATTATCATATCAATAACTCCAACCAGGTGACTCCACGTCTATTGTTATTGGCACATATTGGTGTGTATTGATTTCATGATACTTTTATGATACTAATTTAAACTCCATGTTAATTTTGATGTGATTTCTTTAGTGTACAGGTAGAACTGTAGGCCATGGGGAGTCCAAACTTGAATTACAGAGCACCGCTGATTGAAACACTGATGAAGTGAAGGGCATACCGAGCGCCAGCTGAGACCGGTGGTTAATGCATTGAATTATTGAGTTGTTAAGTGCCAATAACACAGGTTAAACTGAGCCACCACACCTAGCACACCTAGCTAGGAGCGTTGGGATCAGGTCTTCAAAGGGACACGCAAAAATTATTGATTGTAGGTTTTAACATATTACAACCTCTTTTGTTTGTTATTGAGAAATCATATATGTAATTGTGTCCTTATTGCACATGCCTAGATGCCATGCGTAAAGGATATACAATATTTTGCCTTTTTTTTTTCTAATCAAACACTGAAGATGGTTTAGTTTCATACTGGTTTTTACGGGTAGACTACACATTGATATAAAACAACAGTGAACTTTCCTAGTTTTCCCGTGTTTGACACATTTTGAAAAGGGTCTATCTTTCTACTTCCTGGATGGAGGTCACCTAGCAACCACAAAGTAAACAAGGGTCAAAAGCGTGCACACAATAGTTATGAATGGACACGTGAGACGGCTCCTTTACAACAGCTGTTTGGATAATGTTTTGCTAGCTTATCCATTCAAGCTACTTCCTTGTTTTCCTTCTAGCCCAAATCTGGTTTTCTTGGATTTTTTGTTTTGTTTTGACAACAAGAAGTATAATAAGCATACATTTAAAAAAATAAAAAAATAATGTAAGTTGCTTTGAACCCAGATGGTGTGTTGGCACAAGACTAAACTGGTGAAAAGTGTATAACTATGAAGTTGAATTAAATATCATTTCTAACTTGATAATAATAAAAATACTTTTACATTAAGACTCCCAGATTTCTGATACTGCTAGAGCTGCCAGATCAAACATTCTACCAGTATCATGAGGTACAATGAACTCATATTAAAAACTTTTAAAAAGAGCTAATTGAGACTGAGGCAGCGGTACAGAGCTGGGCACGTTTTAGTTCATATTTTCAGGAAGAAAGCAGAGTCACTGGGCTTTTATGTATGAAAATGTACACAGAGAGATGAAACTGGTATGGAACAAGGATGAGCTATGACAGAGGCTCACCGTGTCCTCAGAGACTTGGTCTTTTTTCGTCAGTTTTTTTCAGGCCGTTCACAAGAACTTGAAAAACAGTTTGTTGAAAGGCTACCAACTGCTAGCTGCTGCCAAGTTAATTGTGTGTGTCTATGATAGTTAGCACTTGCTTTTCTATGGGGGAAAACCAAAGAGACTCAGCCCAGAACCAGAACCAGTCCTGAATCTGTTCCACACCTGTCCAGGACCAATCAAGTTCCATTGTCGGTCAATATTATTCTAGTTTTAGTATTGGCTGAATCTGATTTCTGACGTCCTCAAGTCTGAACTGTCTCTGTCCACAGCGCGTCACGGTGACGGTCTGTACGACTCCTACATGAGGCCAGAGCACATCCTGAAGGAGGAGCAGGACCCCAGCAGCCCCTCCTCGCTGCCCCCCATGAGCAAACACACCGTGAGTCCACACTTCCTGTTCTCCGCACGCCTCATTTCCTGTTTGAACTTGCTCTCGTGAACTGCAGGGATTCCTTTTTCCAAGGGCCGAATGCTGTGCAGTACGAAGCCACAAAAACACAGCAAAACTCAGACAGAATAATAGAGCTTTTTTTCAAACTTCAAAGCTCTTCATCAATTAAAAAACATTGTATTTTTCGCATAGTAGTGCAAAGAAGGCGATCTAAAGAGTCATACATGCATGTTAGCGAAAATGGGACACTTGGAACTAGTTAGGTGGATTTTATTACATACTTCCATTATTTATTGTTTGAAAATTTGGTACCTCAGCTCTAGTTGTCTTTTAAATTGTTAAAATGATTTGTCATTGTGCGCCACTCTGCTGTTGTTGACGGCCCTTGTGTTAGGCCCTGTCCACACGAAGTCAAGCTCAGGCCTAAACGCAAAAATACTTTATCAATCCAGTGTATCGTCCATACGAGGCCGGCGTTTTGGGGGGGTGTAAACGAACATTTTTGAAAGTAGGTCCCAGAGTGGAAAGATTTCAAAACTCCGTCATCGCCCCGCCTCTTGTTAAAGCACACATGCGCCGCACTCAGAAAATAATGACAACAACAATGTAGCTTGTTGGTTTTGTAATCCAGTGCGACCCGAAGCAACAGTTCAACCTCATCGTCCGTCCATACTAATGTAGTACCAGCTCGCCCACTCGCCATGTTGTCTGTTTACAAAATTCTGCACATGCCCAGTTCCCGTCACGGAAGTTTGGGCTTGATCCCGTCATTGCGTCACAGCGCCACCAACAGGTCTGGCATAGTTTCACAGCGTTTTCAGGCGTATTGACTACATTCATATGGACGCACACATTTACTGAGCTAACTCCGTGTTTACAGAAAAAGTTTCTGAAATTATAAGCGTTTTGTCTTCGTGTGGATATAGCCTTAGACTTTATGGAGAAAGTCAAAATGAGGCGAAGCGGGTTTATTGTAATTATCTTCATGTAATTTACAACAACAACAAAACTTTGAGTCTGCGCCCTTTGAATTAATTCCTCTGTCATTTCACATTTGTCTGATACTTCATCCCCAACTAATCCGTTTAAAGTCACGTAGATTACATTTTTCAAGTGACCGAAGATAATCGTAACCGAGATAATGATCTGTTTGTGTGGACCTTGGGTATTGGGGATCAAAAGGTAATTAAAAAACAACAACCTAAAGTCTCCCCAATTTAAATTATATATTTATATACAGTGGTCCCTCACTGTAATGCAGTTCACCTTTTGGGGCTTCTTCTCTTTGGTCTCGCTCTTTCTTTCTTTCCTTTCTCTGACCTTGCTCTGGCCTTGCTCTGGCTTCTCTCTGGTCTCTCTCTCTCTGGTGTCTCTCTCTCTCTCTCTGGTCTCTCTCTCTCTGGTGTCTCTCTCTCTCTCTCTCTGGTCTCTCTCTCAGGCCTCTTTCTCTCTCTGGCCTTTCTCTCTAGTCTCTCTCTCTCTGGCCTCTCTGCTCTCTCTCTCAGGTCGCTCTCTGGTCTCTCTCTTTGGTCTCTCTCTGGTCTCTCTCTCTGGTCTCTCTCTTTGGTCGCTCTCTGGTCTCTCGCTCTGGTCTCTCTCTTTGGTCGCTCTCTGGTCTCTCTCTGGTCGCTCTCTGGTCTCTCTCAGGTCTCTCTCTTTGGTCGCTCTCTGGTCTCTCTCTGGTCTCTCTCTGGTTTCTCTGGCCTCTCTCTCTCTGGCCTCTCTGCTCTCTCTCAGGTCTCTCTCTGGTCTCTCTCTCCCCTCAGTCTTGCCCCTGCCCCTCAGTGTCCTCTGCAGCTGTATTTTACAGTGTATGCACGGCTTTTGACAGCTGCAGCAGCGCTCAGACCCACATCTCTGCGATCTCACTTCAGCAATTGAGCATACGTAGCAGCTTTCGCTTATTTGCGGGTTATTTTTATAATCCCTATGATAAACGAGGGACCACTTTATTTTAGATTAGCATTTATTTCCTCCCATAAATCATAATGTACTTCAACAGTGCCTGCGATGGTACAGTCTTTCCCATTGATAATAAAGAGACCTTGGAGGGTTCCCATAGTCTAAAATTCTCAACCAAAAATAGCGGATTCCCATTTTTGCCTGTTATCTTAAAACATGCTACTGTAGTCCGCAGTGTTAAAATATTGGACTCAGGTTTTATATGCCATTTTTACTACTACACTATATCAAATAGTCAGGGCCTCGTGTTGGCCTCGCTCCCCTCCTCCACTCGGCTGGCTCGGGTTTTTCCGCAGGGCGAGCAGTTAAACGTGTATTGATCGGTGCAACAAGCCGCACAGTGTGGACTACATTCTTGTCGACTCTGATCTAGCCGTTGGCTGTTTGTGTTGGCGGCCGTCCTGTTTTCACGGCTTCCACACAAATATGCAAATCAGCTGTAGCGTTGCAGGACGGCGTTCGAATCACCTGAGAGGCAGATTTTAATTTCGGCTGTCGTATGATGAACTGTCTTTGTCTGCTCATTGTTGTAGTAGTAGTAGTAATGATATTGCTTTGTTTGGCTTTTTCATTACTTCATCAACTGCTCATTAAACGCATGATCATCAGTAATATTGAAAATTAATGAGCCAAAACAATTTTACAGTGGTCCCTTACTATAACAAGCCAGAGAATGTTCACAGAATGTTCTCTCTGGTCTCTCTCTGGTCTCTCTCTGGTCTCTCTCTGGTCTCTCTCTGGTCTCTCTCTGGTCTCTCTCTGGTCTCTCTCTGGTCTCTCTCTGGCCTCTCTCTGGCCTCTCTCTGGTCTCTCTCTGGTCTCTCTCTGGTCTCTCTCTGGTCTCTCTCTGGTCTCTCTCTGGTCTCTCTCTGGTCTCTCTCTGGTCTCTCTCTGGTCTCTCTCTGGTCTCTCGCTGGTCTCTCTCTGGTCTCTCTCGCTGGTCTCTCTCTGGTCTCTCTCTCTGGTCTCTCTCTCTGGTCCCTCTCTCTGGTCTCTCTCTGGTCTCTCTCTGGTCTCTCTCTGGTCTCTCTCTCTGGTCTCTCTCTCTGGTCCCTCTCTGGTCTCTCTCTGGTCTCTCTCTGGTCCCTCTCTGGTCTCTCTCTGGTCTCTCTCTGGTCTTCCCGTAGCCCTCAGTCCTGCTCCTGCCCCTCAGTGTCCTCTGCAGCTGTATTTTACAGTGTATGCACCGCTTTTGACAGCTGCAGCAGCACTCGGACCTAAAAGCAACAGATTTGATATCTCTGTTCTCTCTCTGGTCTCTCTCACTTCAGCAGTCGTTCAGGTGGTTAGAAAAGTGTATAAAGTGTGTGTGAGGAGTTTTACAGCCTGAAAACATACAGCTGGCTATTATCCAGGAACGACTGTAGAAACATGTTTTGGTCTTGAGAAAACAATCATGATGATGTTAGAACTTAGAGCGACATTTGAGCTCATTCCATGTTCTGAAATGCATGGATCGTAGCTTAGAGATTTCTTATCGTCGCGCCATTGCATATTTTCTCTGCATAAATGTTCAGCTCTTGCCGCTCTACCTCATCGCACTAATGGCACCTGCAAAGTTCTGCGTAATTAACTAATCACTTCATTGATTTATTAAGTGCTTAAAACTGGTCCGTGACGTCCTCGAGATGCCTGACGAGCCGGGGAAGCTTTGTGTAACGCTGTCAACACTGTTTCTGGAAGTTTAGTTCAGTTCATAGTTTAGTTTATCATTTGGATCACGGTCAGCTGGGTTAACAAACAGCTGTTTTTCCTGGGATAAAGCAATCATGTGACCATAACAAATAGAAAAACATTGCAAGTACTATTAAGCACACCTGCATGTAAGAGAAAGCAAATTTTGTCCACTTAATATATATATATATATATATATATATATATATATATAGGGGTTTTCATGTTGTAATGTTAGGCTTAACCAAAAGCTAATCTAGGAACTAATACTTCCATAAATCCCACTAATTCCATAATACTCGGCTCTGACAACAGCTCAGTTCTACCACAAGGAAGATGCATACATTAGCTGCATCGCTATATAAGCCGCAGGGTTAAAAAAAGTTTAAAAAAAATAGTAGCTTATAGATGCACATTTACATTTACACATAAAAAAAAATCCAGAAGTATTAAAAGTAGGTTCAATACACGTATAAGTTGACAGGTATTGAGTGTTGAGTCTCTGCAATCCCACTACCTTTTGAATTCTTGCATTAGAATCAGTTTTCCAAATGATATAGAGGCTCAGGCAATCCTATATCTAAAAAGCAACTAAAAAGTCAACAAACAAATCTTCTATCAATAGGGCAGTTGCTAGCATTTTGTGACAGAGAAAAAAAGCTTTAAATGGTGGCATGGTTAGGCTCGCAAAGTGTTGGTATGTTGACGTTTGGAGGTGGTTGAAGTTGTTTTGAGATGAGCAACGGTTAGATGTTTTTTTCCTGTGAGGAATAACACTGACAGCGGCTGGAGGACGAGAAAAGCAGGTCTCGGCACTGCTCCATGTGCAAAACTTATTAGCACATCAAAGCAATCTCCCTGTGGTACATTTGACAACAATCCATCAGCAGACTTTGAATTAGCTTGGATGATGGATCTTTGCCAGTCTCAAAAACTAACTGCTGTAGATCCAGGACCGAACTGAGGTTGTAGATCCAGGACCGAACTGAGGCTGTAGATCCAGGACCGAACTGAGGCTGTAGATCCAGGACCGAACTGAGGCTGTAGATCCAGGACCGAACTGAGGCTGTAGATCCAGGACCGAACTGAGGCTGTAGATCCAGGACCGAACTGAGGCTGTAGATCCAGGACCGAACTGAGGCTGTAGATCCAGGACCGAACTGAGGCTGTAGATCCAGGACCGAACTGAGGCTGTAGATCCAGGACCGAACTGAGGCTGTAGATCCAGGACCGAACTGAGGCTGTAGATCCAGGACCGAACGGAGGCTGTAGATCCAGGACCGAACGGAGGCTGTAGATCCAGGACCGAACGGAGGCTGTAGATCCAGGACCGAACTGAGGCTGTAGATCCA